CAAAAATACTTCGGCAATCCAGATTGTATTCTCATACTTCTGGCTCGTTCATTCAGGGTTCTGTTTATCCTCTCAGCAACACCATTTTGTTCTGGTGTTCCAGGAAATGTCTTGATCATTCTGATCCCATTCTCCGAGAAAAATGCTTTGAACTCTTGGCTATCATACTCTCCTCCATTATCAGATTTCAGATATTTTAACTTTAGACTTGTCTGATTTTCAACTTCAGCTTTCCATCTTTTAAAGGTAANGTTTGTATTGTAGTTGCATACAGTGTTCCCCTTTTGAAGCCTAGTGCCACAACCAAATTCCCTTTGGTTATCTTCCACGATCCGTTGCCGAATGTTGTTGTATATCCTTTACCGTCAATCTGACCCATAGATATCAGATTTTTCTTGAGGCCAGGAACATGTCGTACATTTTGCAATTTCCATAGCGTGCCTTGTGAAGTCTTTATATGAACTTCTCCTTTTCCGGCAATGTCGAGATGTTCACCGTCTGCTAGATAAACTTTCCCAAATTTTCCAGCAATATAATTATGCAATAATTCTTTGCATGATGTAGAGGGAAAGGATGCACATAAGTCCAGAATTCAAGATTCGACTGGACTGTCTGCACAACAAATTAGTGCATCACCGACTTGTTCAACAATTACATTTGCTGAATTTTCTTCCTTCTTCTTCTTTGAATTCTACACTGGCTACTGTAGTGACCCTTTTTATCGCAATTCCAACAAGTAATGTCTTTGCGATTTTTGGATTGTCCTCTTCTCCTTGACTTTGATCTGCCACGACCATAACTCTGTCCTCTTTGGTTGATTCTCCCCTGCTTTCGATACTAAAAGCAGATCCTGGGGAATCCCTTGATTCTCTTTGGCGAATTTATTCGATTAGAACCAAGTCTCTGATATCATTCAATTTGAGTTTGGTACTTCCTGATGAACTGCTAACTGCAGTTACTGTCGCAGACTAACTCTCCGGTAGAGATGATAGTAGAATCAACGCCCTGATTTCGTCATCAATTGTTATATTAACAGAACTCATCTGAGTTAATATTATATTAAACTCATTGATATGTTCCGTGACTGATCCACCTTTTGTCATCTTTAAGTTGAACAATCGACGCATCAAATAGACTTTATTTGAAGCAGATGGCTTCTCGTACATATTAGATAACGCCTTCATCAGGCCTGCAGTGTCTCCTCGTTAATGATGTTAAATGCCAAATTTCGTGTTAGTGTCAAACGAATCACATCAAGAGCTTGGCGATCTAATAGATCCCAATCCACTTTGGACATAGTCTCTGGTTTCACCTCGGTCAGAGGTAAGTATAATTTTTTCTGGTACAAATAATCCTCTATTTGCATTTTCCAGAATCCAAAATCTTTGCCATTGAACTTGTCAATCTTAACATTCCCTTCTTCCAATACCATTTTTCACAAAAAATTTATGTGAATAGTGCCTATGAACAGTAGGATGATCAATAGTGTCGCACTATTCTTGTGAATAGTACCTGCACCAGTACTGTACTTTTCTACCAGAATTACACTGTCTGTGCTCTGTTAGCAGTTGTTGGGAAGCGTGTCAAGATAATAGAAAGAAAAGGATATTTAAGAGAGAAGCAATAAATTGCACAAGACAAGACAAGACAAGATTTCTGTGGTTCGACAATTTTACCTACTCCACGGCCACACAAAGAATAGCTCTTTATTAATTGAAGAGAGAAATAAGAAGTTTTGGGATGATCTATAAATGAAAATGTAGACCCCTATTTATAGGCATTTGAATGCCCTGCCGATGTAAGCGCTTACATCAGAAGAATGTCGAGGTAAGTGCTTACATCACAATAATGTCGATGTAAGCGCTTACATCATACTTTCATCTCTTTTTTATTTTTCTTTCTTTTGTTTTGTCTACTTTCACATACAACAATAGGTTTGGTCCTATCAGGTTTATTGTGTTATAAATTGCATTTAAAGAATGCAACTAATAAAAACAAGGCTGAATACATGCGGAGACACTTAAAGTTGGCACGATTTTTCATTTACACACCTGAATTTAGGGGTGTACCTATTGAGCACTTATACTAACCGAAACTTATTTCAATTGAGCACTTCTTTGACAATCAGCCAAAGTTACAAAGTTTGTGCAATGCACTCGCTGCTGACGTGGCGAATGACGAATAAAAAAAGACATATATTATTTTGAGTAAAAGAAAAAAGAAAAAAACTATGTTAAATCTATTTAATAAACAAAATAATCAGTGGTCTTGGTGTTCTTCACTATTTTCACGTGTGTTCTTGTTCTAAGCACGATTTTAATCCAAATTTTTAAGAGAAACTCCTCCAAATTTGTTATAACTTCAGCTAAAGATTCCCCACGACGATCCGAAGACAGCCCCAATATTAAGTTCTCAAACTTTCATCAAATCAAGTAACCCATTTTAAACCTTCAAGCTTTTTAAAGACCCTATTAATGGTGGCTTTCATTNAACCCCATTAATGGTGGCTTTCATTTAGTCGCAGTTCTCTGCAACAAGATTTCAACAATTTCTTGCTTGAACCCGGGAATCTCAAATCCCTCCAAAAGCTTCTCCTATGAAAGTGTGAACACAACTCCTATTTTTGAATGAGGATATTGATCTGATATTTTTATTATCTCAAGCCGCAGACATTTGCCTTTAGCATCAGCTCTTTTTTCTGCTTTACTTCATTGCTCCTCCTCTCTGTTAGCTCTTAATGCATACAGTGAAGCAATAATTTGGCAAGTATTTGTTTCAAGTCTTTACTAAATAGATTGGTGTCATGCGCTTAGTATTACACGAGAGAAAGAAGGGGGTGCGACTGCTTCTCTTCGGCCAGCGATGTCATGGCAGATCTGTTTTGTTTTTGAGGGAGAAGAAGAAGCAAATAAAAAAGAAAAAAATAAAAAATCTGTTTTTTTGGGTCTTCACGCGCCTATATCGAGTGAAACTCACTTTATGTGTCAACTCAGCAAGAAGTGTTCAATTAGAATAAGTTTCGGGTAGTATAAGAGCTCAATAGGAACACCCTTGAGTTCAAGTGTCCAAATAAAAAATCATGCCAACTTTAAGTGTCTCAGTATAGATTAAGCCTAAAAACAATTAGTGAATGCGAGTTATATACAATGAATGCTATTTACATCAGTGAATATGTGATTTACAAAGAGATGCAAGAATCTTTATTACTGTAACACGTCTACCCGAGCGTACACATGCCAATCAAATGATATGGTATATGATTTGATTTAGAAGGCAACAAGATTAAAATTTCAGAAGTATAGCGTCTTTAAGTCCTGTCATTTAGAACTCGAACTCGAATTACATAATCTAAAGAATAGACCCATTAATTTACAAGGAGCACTGGGACATTGACATGCTAGTAGCAATTTCTAAACTTTAAATTGGTTCATTTTGAAATAAACCTACACATCTACTCCTCTGCGGTTAGCAATTTCATATTGCTCCTTCTTGCTAGTCATGAAGGGCTCTTGAATAGAGGTCCCATTGATGCAATGTGAAAACTGTATGTTTTCCTTCATCATATATTTCCTTGCAATTATTCATAACTATGAATTTATATTAAACGAATCCTTTAAGTCAAATAATGATGGATTAATCTATTAATAGCACGTGTCCTAGAAAAGTTCTGATTTTGTCAATTAATATGCTAGTTTGGCATATTTATTCTAAAAATTGGTATACAAACATTCTGCGCCATCCCATCATGCTCCACAAAGAGAATGTTTCATCAGTACTATTTAGAGCTTGAAGTTGCAGGAGTGGACATCAAAGTCATACTTTTTGTGCCCTGTTTCCTGCCCAACGCCAGCAGCAAAGAATCAATTGGCTTCCAACGCAAAAAGAACCAACTTGAGTGGGAGACACGGAGTTCCACAATATGTTTTAAATTATACATTAGTCATTGTTAAATCTGAGTTTCAATAATAACATAGCAAAACTAATCATATCTATTTCATTGCAGGAATCAAGGTACCACTTCAAGTAAAATCCTTATGGTAAGGACATCAACAAAAAGAAATGAGATCGAAGAGAATTTGACGATACTACGGGAAGTCAAGCCATCAAAAAGTAAACTAAAGAAGTCTCGCCATCTCAGTCTCGATCAAAAGACATCGAGAATGTCTAACAGAAGGAAACATATTAAGTGCAGCTCGAGAAAATCAGGCCTCTCCTCGAGGACTATATTAGAAGATTGACCAACCAAATCGAAGTCTCAAATCACTCCATGAAATGAGGACATGAAAGAGGAAGGACATAAACGAATCCAGCCCATCTCAAGTGCAGGATTCGGAGGCACCCCTTGAGTCAAATCTCTTAGAGGATTCAGTGCCTCAATCAAGATCAATCTGCAACGACTCCCAAAATCTCCTATAAGAAGTCTGCCAATCTCAAGAAGAAGATTTACGCAACTACTCAAACTGTTTTCTAAGCCTTTCTAGTTCTTAGTACAAACACTTTATTCTTTAGTCTGCAAGTGTCACAAAAGAAAGAAAGAGTTAGAACACAAAAGAGAGTTGTGTGAACATTTTAAAATCACTGTTGCTGAATATCGTTGATGGTGAACGTTCAAAATCCATCACTATTGTAATCTTTTATAAAAAATCTAAGAGAGTCTTATGACCTAAGGGAACTGGACGTAGGTACCATACCGGTACTGAACCATTATAAAAACTGTTGTGTCTTCTTTACCTTTCCGTTCGTTTATTTCATTCCCATTGAATGTTCACGGTGCAAAACTTAGTTGACTAAACTCACACTTAGTCAACTAGAATTTTAATTGGCTACAATTCACCCCCTCCCCCTTTTTGTACTTTCACTCATAACATTATAAAGATTTTTATACTATCCGATTAGTTATGGTATATATTTACTTGCTATTATCTTATAATTGACATAATTGTAAAAATATTTTTTATACTATTATTGCATAAACTTAAACGCTAAACAAAAAAGTGAGGAAGATAGCAAAAGGTAAACATGTGGTTCTCCACTAAACTCAGCCAAATGTTACAAAAAGAGAACCTAACAAAGAAAAGGTACTCAAGTCTTTCTGATCTCTGCCACTCATTGCTGTAGAATGATGCAAATCTTTGTCACAATGCTTTCTATTCTTGTCTTACAGCAAAAGGCAGCCTGATGAAAGTGATACATTCTGTCTTCTGAACCTCTGCTATAATGGAAGTTCTATCTGTAGTTTTAGCTCTTTTTGACTGCCCCCTTTATACTTCTTTCTCTGTTCCACCATCTTGTGATGTTTCTGCTAAACTCTGTTAAAATTCGTAATCAAATTATGTTGATTTTGTCTCTTCTGCATCTACATTACACAGGCTTCTGAGTTAGAACTAGTGCATTGTTCTTTCCATTCATTCATTGCTTCCTTTTTCCTTTCGTGTCTATATCATCCATTAAGAGCACTGTCTTCTCCATTGAGCTTGGCTATGGATAATGTAAAATAGATCAATAGTATTGTTCCCATACTTGACCTGTCAAATACAGGGCACTACCATATTAAATAAAATTTTAGTAGAAAATGTCAGAAGTTGTATTCTTTCCTCAAAGTCATAATTGACCATTTTACTATATTTTCTATCCCCTCTCTCCCAATTTAGGTGTCACTCTTTCTTCTTTGATCTATATAAAGAAACATGTCACCTTTCTATAATTAAAAGCAATTTAATTTTAAAATTTCTTTTTTATCCTTAATGATATGATTTATAATCATAAAAAATTTAATTAGTTTTAGATCACAAATTTCAAAAAAGTTCTTTCATTCTTAATTTCCTGTCTAGTCATCATAAATTAAAAGAAAGTGAGTATTTTTTAGTGTAAAACATTATACACGACAAATATAAAGAAGTTAAACAAGTCTTTAGTTGGTTAAGAGAAAACTCACAAGGTAGCAAAGAAGAGAAGGATCCTCCTAGGATCAATGGACCAATTAGAAGTGGAAGAAGTGCGTCGGAAACTGAATCTCCTCCCACTAATCTTGCTTTCGGTGGCGGTGGCGCCGCCATGGCCGGCCACTATAGTGATCTGATTATGGGTTTGTGGGGTAGGTTGATAAGTAGTTCCCACAATAGTCGATGCCATGGGCTTTTCTGGCGTGCTAATACCTCCTCCTAGCAATGAAGCTGCAATTTTTTCCATTTTAAAAATGACATTCAGAATATACCCAAAAATATGTGGTGGCTTGTTTCTTTATCACTCAATTATTATCATGCATGTGGGCAACCACCATTTTAGTTTATACTATGAATGCAAACAAAAAGGAATGACACTCTGTACGACCGTACTATTATTTTATTTCATCTACAAGATTAACAAATGCTCCAACCTTAATATTCATAAGAAAAGTTGATACCATAGGCTAATTGTCCGTTACATTCATTCTTATATGCTATCTTTTGGATTTTATTCATTCATGGTATATACAGCCTGGACCATATGAACTTTAATTGGACCCAGTACTTAAGGTAAATAAGTTATATGCAATCTCACCAATAAAATCTTGACATACCAGGATAGATAAACTTACGGGTATCCACTTGCTGCTTCTTACCTTGAACTTTATATTATGTGCCTAATGTAATGTATTCATGTCGAATTCTAAACCTATAGTCTAATTTACACCTAAAGTAGAAGAAAATGAAGGCTCTGATAGCACGTCTTTGCTTAGGGAAAAATAGGGGTAGATTGATTTGTCTCATTATTATACCAGAGGAAGAAACCTAGGCAGCTAGCTAATGTACTAAAATACTTAGTAAAGACAAAATCTGTATCTTGTAATACTGCCATATGAACAGACAAAAAACAGAGCAGATTTCCCCACATTGAGTGAGAATATGTTGTTACAGCTAGACAAGCGGGTTGCTCTGACGGTAAGTAACCTCCACCTCCAACTAAGAGATTGCTCTGAATGTTGTTGTTGTTGTTACTATGTTACATCAATGTGGTATTTAGTCACCGTCGTCGCTTAATTTCTTTATAATGGTAAACTTTATCCAAGTTAGTAGTGTTACATCATTACTCCAAACATTAGAGGAATCGAAATATAAGAATACAAATATGGCTGAATATTTGACAATGAGATTGCATTGGGCAGTACGTGATATGTTTCACGTGAAGCCAAATATGGCTGATCAGTTGATATTTTTGTTTTAAATGCTATAGATATTTTTAAATCCTTGGAAGTAGAGTATGAAAGGTAAACTCTTCCTCGGACAATAAATATTTACAAAATTGAGAAAAAGATATTCTCCCGTCTTCGTATTTTCATTTTTAATATGTTCTATGAAAGGTAAACTCGTCCTCGGACAATAAATATTTACAAAATTGAGAAAAAGATATTCTCCCGTCTTCGTATTTTCATTTTTAATATGTTCTATGAAAGGTAAACTCGTCCTCGGACAATAAATATTTACAAAATTGAGAAAAAGATATTCTCCCGTCTTCGTATTTTCATTTTTAATATGTTCTATGAAAGGTAAACTCGTCCTCGGACAATAAATATTTACAAAATTGAGAAAAAGATATTCTCCCGTCTTCGTATTTTCATTTTTAATATGTTCTAAAGAGAATGACATACTTCTTTATTTAAAATAATTTAAATTTAGCTTTTTATTTTTAATATGTTCTAAAGAGAATGACATACTTCTTTATTTAAAATAATTTAAATTTAGCTTTTTATTTTTAATATGTTCTAAAGAGAATGACATACTTCTTTATTTAAAATAATTTAAATTTAACTTTTTTTCCTTTAATGAGATAGATTTACCGCCATGGAATTGTATATGACTTCTTCGGACTACAATTTCAAAAGATTTTATTTTATTTATGCACAATCAAACATTGTCACATAAATTGAGATAGAAATAATAAACTATTGATATGTATAAAACGACTAAAACTAGTACAAAGAGTAATAAATAGTGAGAATAATCTGGTTCCTTTTACTCCCTTTGTTTCAAAAAGACTGGCCTTATTTCCTTATTAGTAGTGAGAATAATCTGGTTCCTTTTACTCCCTTTGTTTCAAAAAGACCGGCCTTATTTCCTTATTAGTAGTGAGAATAATCTGGTTCCTTTTACTCCCTTTGTTTCAAAAAGACTGGCCTTATTTCCTTATTAGTCTTTTCCAAAAAATGGATACTTTTCAATATTATCATAATAGAAAGTATTTACAGCCACAGAAATACTATAGCAGATTTCGGACCACAAGTTTCAAAAGTTTTATAGCCACACAAATACTATGAATTATTTAAAACCATATATTTTAAAAGTCTTTCCTTCTTTATTGTAAAATTTATACCAAGTTAAATTAAGACAATCTTTTTGAAACGGGGTGTAATTTGGAAGTTCTATGATTGAGAAAATATCGAAGGGGTCATAGTCTTTTCCTTTCATTGTTGTCCGTTAAATACCTTTAACGACAGAAACGCATGCAGACAAATACAAATTTGTTGATTGCTTTGTATCTAACACCTCTTGATTTTTTCTTTTTTTGGTAACATTGTGAATTACCATTAATAACAAACAATGTGTACATCTAGACCTCAGAAAGAAAAACACAACTCTTTATTTTTATTTATTATTAATTCAAATAAATGATAATATACCTCTAGGGGAACTTGCCGTGAAATTAGTGTCTTTCTCATTGGCAGCATTTGAATATGTTTTCCTCTCGCCGCTTCGAAATGATCCTTTCCTTGAAAGGTTTCTCTGCAACTTTTTCAATCAAAATCATATCAGAAACGTTAAAAAGCATATTTTCCCAGCTTTTGCAATATCATGTATTACAACTTTTTCGGCATTTTCCGAAGTCAAATTTACCATCTTATTCTTCGCCAGCGTCCATTTTCTTTCAAAATAAAATAAAATAAAGTAGTACTTAAGACTTAGTCTCAGTAAACAAAAATTGACCAATAATGAGTTCTGTTCTCACTACTTTAACAAAGTGGTTAGGATAAACATGAATTGTGAAATTGATTGATATTGAATTGAACCATGAAATAACTTGTGATGGGGTCAAGGGTTTCAGGAGAAACAAAGTATATGTGCAGAGGATAAACAAGTATTCAGGCAAAAGAGATTAAAAAAAGAAAAGGAAACTTACAGTAATTCTTGAATTGGAATTTATATCTTTCTCTATGATATGAGAAAAACGTTCCATGTCCACAACAAAGCTATCTGATTTTGTGCTTGCGTACTGCAATCCATTTATATGATCAGAAACACAAATTTCCTTAAACCCCTTTTCTTCACTCATATTCTCCTGTAAATTCATATCCAAAACTTAAGCACATGTACATACAGAAAACTGAACAAGATTAGTTCTTAGCTGGGAAATTTTAAAGAATAGAGTTCCAAGAATTCAATAAAACAGTTGCCAGAAAAAGAAAAAAAAAACGAAAACAGGGTTGAAACTGGAAACAAGACTCACCATTTTTGTATAATCCACGATTGTTGCAGAACTTGAAGAAAGAGAAGAAAATTTGATAAAGAAGTGTTTGGAGTTCTTCACCTTCTAACGTACCCAATTAGGAAACCACAGTTTACAACCTGATACATTTGACAACAAAAACAAACAGAGAACAGAACCGATTAAAGTCAACTTTCCACTGTATGAATAAAGTAAACAACTCTTGCCTAGTGTGTGTGTATATAGGTGAGAAATGACAGAAGCTTTATTTGCAAGACTCCTTTTTTATCTCAACTGCTACTTATAATATCGGTTTGAAAATAACTAGCTTACCAACCTCACAAACTTCAAGAAAAAACTAAGTACTATTCTTCTTCTTGTTGTTGAACTGGTAATTAATCTTCTTGTTCCTAACACATAGAAACATAACATGAATGTATATTCACATCACATATATATAGGGGCTACTTTTTTAAATATTTCTTGAAAAGTTTTACTTTTTGGTTTTTAGTTATAAAGAATGATGGGGATATTCAAGGAGTATTTGAGGGGTTTTCGGGGAAGTTAAACCATGTGTGGTGTTGTGTGGACACAAAAGAAACTCTTTTTTTTTTTTTTGGAAGTTGATGAGGTGTTTGGGTGTCTGTTTCTATTTAACTGAGTTGTTAATTGATAAAAAAATATGACCCATTTTTGTTAGTGCCGACCTCAGTTTTTGGCTAAAAATATTTTAGGGTTGGGTCCATTAGGTTGGGTGTACAATAAGCAACCTCGTGCCACTGCTTTATTTTTTAAAGGCAAAATAACTTTCTCGCCACTTAAACTTGTCGGGATTTTTAAAGCCGATACATAAACTTATAATTTTCCCATTTGAACATTCGAACTCGTTTTTTCCATAACTAATAAACACATTTGACCATTGACCATGCCCATGTGGCGTCAGTTTGTCCTAATCAGCAGCCCGCGTGAGGAACACGACACACAAGAGCGTGAAAACCCCCTTCCCAACGCCCAACAGTACAAAATACCCCTTCCTCCATTTTTAAAAATTTGAAACTCCATTTTCATTTTTTTTTTTCATTTTTCAGACCGTGAAAATGGTGGAAAGTTGTATATTTTGTCATTGTAGAGTTGAAACTAAGTTTTGAACTTCCCCATAACTTCCCCTTCCAAGTTCGTTGATTGAAACCCTTCAAAAGCTTTCCGTACTCCTTCTGGATGTTCAAGGTGATGGTAACAGCCCTGTGGAGGAACTTGGATGTATGGATTCTCTCTGAAATTCCAAGCTAGAAAGACGACACACAACGGCATGCCGACAGTGATCTTCAAAACAAGAGACTACTATGTCATCATGGCGGCTCAATGTAAGAGGATAATTGTTGGTCGATTTTTGAAGACCCGACCCCGAATTATAGGTCAAGATTCTCTAAAAAATTCCCTTTGAAGGGATCTGCAAAAATTGGAGTTTATGATAAATTAAATGTGTTTCTCAGCTTCACTAATGATGAAGATTACAATTTTGTTCTATATAAGCGGGTGATTGAAATTGAAGGTCTGCAAATGTGGTTGCAGAAGTGGAATCCATAATTTAAGCCTGAAGAAGACCTACCTACCAATAGATCCTGTCTGAGTCCTGCTGCTCGGATTACCATTTCATATGCATAACTAGTCTTATGTCAAACATATTCTTGAAGAAGTAGGGACTCCATTGGAGCTTGATGTGGCGACCAAACTATGAACATACCTAGTATGGCTAAGGTAAGCGTGGAAATTGATTTACTCAAACCTTTAATCGCCAATGTTTGGGTTGGAGATGAAGATGATGATTTGCCTCTTAAAGATTCGTTCAACGCATTGAATATTAAAACATACCCAAATTCTGCAAACATCGTAGGAAATTAGGGCACTATCTTGTTAACTATTGAATCCTTGAAATAAAAAAGCTGGAAGAAAAGAAGGAAGAGGAACGAAAGAGTAACATGGAAAAGGATCAAGCTGAGCCACCTGTGAAACAAAATAATGAAAAGCAGATAGCCATTGTTGATGAAGAAGAACGCTAAAGAAGCCAAAGAGAAGGAGTTGTTGCTTGACTTTTCGCGCCCTTACGTGTAAGACATCCATTGGTCATTTGCTGACTGGATGGACACGTATGTGTATGTGTAATACACGCGCACATGGTCAATGGTCAGATGTGTTTATTAGTTATGGAAAAATGAGTTCGAGTGTTCAAATGGGAAAGTTATAAGTTTATGTGTCGTCTTTAAAAAACCCAACAAGTTTAAGTGGGTAGGAAGCCATTTCACCTTTTTTAAATCAGTTCAATCATTCCATTTCTGAAACCGCCCCCGCTTATTAAGTTTCGAGCCGGATAAATCCACTAAATAAGGTTAGACCGTTTCCTAGTTCTAATTTTTTATTTTATTTTTAAGGCTCAAATCTAGAACTTCTTATTAAGAAACCAAAAAAGTAACTTTACTTTATTTGTCGGGATAGTCTCTCTCTAAAAGACCAACGACTATCTTCTAAATACCACTGTCTTTCCGTCACGCACCCCCGATGGAACTGCCGGACGGCGCCGCTCTGACGCGTCTGGAAGGCCATTCCACTCCTTCTCTCATGGCAAACCAACCCCTAGAGTCAATTGATACAAAACTGACATATGCCACCAAAGTAATTTCATCTTCGAACAATCCGAATTCTCCAAATCTCCATGGCAGAGACTCTGTCATTGCGACGCATACTACGCACAATGGAATTTCGGCGGTTCTCTTGAAAGCTTCAGACTATTATGGTGTTATGGCTGAAGAGTGTAAACTCGCCATAGTTGGCCGATTTTTAAAACCAAGGCACCAACTTGAAAAAATCATATCAAAATTCAAGGAAATAATTTCGATAAAGGGCTCTGTCAAGATTGAGGTTTTTGACAATTACAATGTTTTTCTTGATTTCACCAATGAAGAAGACTTAAATTTTGTTTGGTTTAAATGAGTGATTGAAATTGAAGGGCAGCAGATGTGGCTTCAGAAATGGTCGCCGGATTTTAAGCCAGAGGAGGACCTGCCAATTGCTCCGGTATGGGTTCTCCTTCATGGTTTACCTTTTCATATACACACTTGAAATTATGTTAAACAAGTGGTGAGTGCAATTGATACTCCCCTTGAAATGGATTTGGCTACTAGAGGAAGAACAAGGCCTAGTATGGCCAAAGTAAGAGTTGAAATTGACTTGCTTAAGGGCCAACCTAATTCTGTTTATGTTGGACAAATATTTGACGATGCTCCTCACAAAGGATTTGTACAAAAAATTGAATTCGAAGGAGTCCCTAAATATTGCAAATTCTGCCAAAAACTTGGTCACAATATGATCAATTGTAGAGCTTTAGAGAGGAAAAAGGCTGCTGAAAATAGAGTTTTAGATGATAAAAAATGTAACGACCCGACCAGCCATTTTGAGCTCTAGTGCGTCATTCAGTAGTTTGAGGCCATGAACAGTTTCACTTCATGTATTATGACTTGAGCGCACCGTCGGAATTGAATTCCGGGAAGTTCGGAGTTGATTTGGAAAGAAAATTCTCATTTTAGAAGCTTTAAGTTGAAAGAATTGGCTAAGGTTAGTTTTTTGGGTAAACGACCTCGGAATCAGGATTCGAAGGTTCCAGCAGGTTCGTATGATGATTTCGGACTTAGGCGTATATCCGGACTGGGTTTTGGAAGACCCGAGAACGTTTTATCACCTATTATGGAAGTTAGCATTTTGGAAGAAATTTCATAAGTTTGGGTTGAAGTGCATTTCAATGTTATCGATGTCCGTTTGGGATTTAGAGTCTAGGAGTAGCTCCGTATAGTGATTTTGGAGTTGGGAGCATGATCGAAAGTGAATTCGGAAGTCCGTAGGTCATTTTGGAGTCATTTGGCTAAAGATAGAAATTTGAAGGTTTTTGAGAAGTTTGACCGGAAGTGGACTTTTTGATATCGGGGTCGGAATCCAATTCCGAAAGTTGGAGTAGGTCAGTAATGTCAAATACGACTTGTGTGCAAAATTTGAGGTCAATCGGACGTGATTTGACGGGTTTCGGCATTGAATGTAGAAGTTTGAAATTTTAAAGTTCATTAAGCTTGGATTGGAGGTTGATTCATGATTTTAGCATTGGTTGATATGATTTGAGGCCTCGAGCAAGTCCGTAATGTGTTTTGGGACTGGTTGATATGATTGTTTGGTGTCCCGGGGGCCTCGGGTGGATTCCGGGTGGTTAACGGATCGAAAATGGAATTTTGAAAAGGGCTGAGGTTGCTGGTGTAACCGCACCTGCGAGACTAGGGCCGAAGGTGCAGAGCCGCAGAAGTGGAAATTGACGGCTAGGCTAGGACCGCAGATGCGGTCGTTTTGCCACATATATGGGACCACATCTGCGGAGGAGGGGACGCAGAAGCGGAATGGGTTGGGAGCCCTGGACCGCAGAAGCGGCGTTTGGTTCGCACCTGCGAGACCGCAGAAGCAATCAAGAGACCGCAGGTGCGAAAAGTGCTGGAGGCAGTGGGTTGTTTTAAAGTCGGGATTTGGCCATTTTCTTTCATCTTTCTCTTGGCTTGGGCGATTCTTGGAGGGTTTCAAGAGGGGATTTTCATCATCAACGACAAGGTAAGCTATCCCCACCTATCTTGAGTTAAATACATTGATTATGTAAGGAATTGCGCATAAAATTGGTAGAAATTTGAGGTTTTGGTGGAAAGACCTAGAAAGAGTATTTTCGGATTTTGGCCACGATTTTGGGTAGGAAATTGAGAGTAAATTATATATTTGAGTTTGTAAGGTTGTGCGTAAACTTATTCTTCGAAAAATTTCGGAATCTGGGCACGTGGGCCTGAGGGCGTATTGGTCAACTTTTCAATCGGGGTTAGGAATTGTTATAAATTGGATCATTAGGGGTAATTGAGCATATATTAATGTATTTGTATTATTATTGGCTCGCTTTGGAGCTTTGTACATCGATTCGAGTTTTCGGAAGGACGAGGAATGTCGATTATGGACCTTTGGGGTGAGGTGAGTCTCCTTTCTAACCTTGTAAGAGGGAACTGTCCCCATAGGTGAAATTATTGGTTATGTGCTCCTATTTGTGGGGGCTACGTATGCACGAGGTGATGAGAGTCCGTGCGTAGCTACTATTATGTGTAAGTCCGGGTAGACTAGGACCCAAAAACATGCTATACTTGGAATATTTATAACCCTGTTGACAGTTTGAATTGCTTAATTCACGTCGAATTAGTAAATAAATTTCTAAAAAGATTAAACTTCATTTTCTTAAATTGTTAAAAGAGAATTGACTTTCTTTGGATAATTGTTACATGTTGACTCCTTGGTTGACTGTCTGTGTGTGTTTAATTTCGGAACGGGCCGAATGACAGATTAAATAGATGCATCTATGGTTCGCACCATTCAACCCTCTGGTAGTGCACAATTTAAATATTATTGGATCAGGCCATACGACCTCAACATGTTTTGCGCATGCTTGTATTACTTGCCTTGAAAGTTATTGAAGTTATTATTGCCTCTTCCCGGTTTGAGAATATTTGTATAA